CCTTCACTGCTTGATAACTTAGATATATGGTTTCCTTAAAGAAAGGCGTAGGGCCAGCTGTGGTACCACGATTTGAAACGTGCGGAAAGAGAGTCAAAAAACAAGGTTTCATCCACCGTCAGCTGTTTATTTTTTTCTACTTTATCTACGCGCGCTCTGTCGGGTTATTTTATTATAGTTTTCTCCGGACCGAGTTGGCTTTCCCTTTTCGGCGCCGACTCTCTTTCCAGGTCTGTTCACTGTGCCCCTGATGAGAATGACAGACCTTCTGAGCAGACTAAAATTTTTAAATAAACATCAGTCTATGTTCCCGCCTAAAAAAGTGAGCTCACTAGAACTTAATAACAGTGTAACATAGCTATTTATCTATTTGGTTCTCGTACCATAGCTAAATGACTATTTACCACTTACTTAATGCTATACATTCTTATTTAAAATAACTAACGTATTTGTGGCTATTTTTCCCGCAACTACATATAGTTTACGCTCAATGAACTGATGTGTAGTCATTGAACTACTGTTGTGGTTATTGATCTGTTGCGTACTTATTGAACTAACAAAAAAGAAAACTGTCCTATCTGTAGAAAAGATGTAGAAGATGAAATACGCTTTTTAACTCTGTGCCCTGCGTATCGAGAAAAAAGAAAGAATTGATTTGAATACTTAAACAAAGAATACAGAATAGCAGTAAACAGAATGGCACTAGATGATGTTTTTCTGTTGTTAATAAACCCTCCGAGCGAGAACAAACCAGTGCAAAAGTTAATTGCGAAATACGTATTCGACTGCTATGAGAAAAGAAGATCATTAGTTCTTTAGGTTAACATTGATTATAGTCTCACTATAGTGTGCAATTTGTGTTATGATTTTAAATTATTTGGATAAAAAGTCGATGTACATAGGACTGTATAAGACTCCAAATAAAGTATTGTCTTGTCTTGTCTTGTCTATATGTCGTAGGGGACAAAACGATAATGCATGGGTAAAATTAATTTCAAAACCTGTATTTTCAAGAGTCTATCCAGTAATTTATTTACAATTACAATCCTGTCTGGAGTGAACATTAATATATAGAGTATATAGAGTAAATGCATTAAGTTGATATAATGGATGCAAATACATGAAATATACTGACAAAACAATCCAGCACCTTGTAAAATAGATTAATTCTCTGATTAGACATAATGATAATTGTCCATAACTGCCTGTAAAAATAAATGATTACTTTTACGGTGTCTGTAATCACATTTTTCTTTGGCTTTAGTGTTGCCTTATGTTTCAGAACAAATTTGTACCCTTTATCTGACTCTATGTAATAAACTAAATTTTAAATTTTTTGCTATATGCTATGTAATTGTATCTTTTTATGTAATTACGGTATATGTATAATTCGCTGTGACTTAGAATTGAACCTTTATGAGCAAAAGATATTTGAAATAAAATCATGTATAGTTGGTCGCCCCTTTAGTGTCTGCTTATATCCTAACATACGTATCCAGATATTTTAAAGGGGAGATTTTATTCTCCGTTTTCAAAAAAATGCATTTCTATTTCTACACGCAGCGTATTCGAATAGTTTACGCTCATTCACACGAAAAAGGCCAAAAGAATGGGACGACGGTATCATCCCTAACAGGGCATGTGCTGTATTATGTATGACATCATCGTATTTAAAAACATCCGTTTTCGTCCGTCCACGTAGAGAAAACGATAAGCCGGCGTTTTTTAATAAATAACTCAATTCTGGGGACCGTTTTAGAAAACCTGCGGTTTTTGGAGCCTGAAAAAGCCGTATACATGTGGACTGAAAGCTAAAAGGGAGAAAAAAATATTCCTTTTCGAAAATATCCGGATACGTGTGGACGGCGCCTGTTAAATATAGCTATCGTGGTAGCCATAGCATTGGGATAGGCCACGATAGAAGGATAGACGAGACCGATGATTTTGGCGGCATCTGGTTCGCAAAAAAAGCCGTATACATGTGGACTGAAAGCTAAAAGGGAGAAAAAAATATCCCTTTTCGAAAATATCCGGATACGTGTGGACGGCGCCTGTTAAATATAGCTATCGTGGTAGCCATAGCATTGGGATAGGCCACGAGAGAAGGATAGACGAGACCGATGATTTTGGCGGCATCTGGTTCGCAAAGACCCAGGACAAGCATTGGAGAATAGAACTCGTAAGGCCACCCGGGGCCAGGCGACACTCCTTTATTAGACCTAAACGGAACAGGATGTGGTTTTCATGGGGCACGGGGATCAATGAAATCTTAGTTCAAGTTCGAGCGCGCGTTTACTTTTCTGGGACAAGTATGTTTATTACAAGTTAAAGGTGGTTTAAACATATATTTTTTGTCTATATTTCCACTACAATTTAAAACCACAAGTGAGTACAGCTCACTTGAACTTAATTGTAGAAGACAATCATTCAAGTCTCTGTTGATAAATTTTATTTTGATAAACTTGGTCTGCTTAAATATGTTTTAAAGATATGAATGGGGTAAAACCAGAAACCCATGGTAAAACTGAATGTACATGTTTATAAAATGTATGTGTGCAGACACTCAAAGAGCTCGGTTTTTGGAAACTTTCAAAATTTATCGGTCTCATCGTAACGACATGAAAATTTAGACATAATAAATATCAGACATCCGATCACGGCTCTTGCAACTGGATGAGGATTGTTTGATCCTCTTTTTTTTGTTCTTTGTTCTTCTTACACGCAGAACACTCAATGTAGTTTTTCTTCACGCCCGATGCTGGGTTGCTTGACCGTTGACTAGATCTCATCAACGCAACATATCGAGCTACATGACCGCCGAAAATGGTGTATGCCTTCGTCTATTGTATTAAGGGAGTTACTGCGCTTCAGATATTGTTTAACTTTCGAGACCATAGATCCGCTGCATGAGGGAAAATCCTTCAAGGATTTTGTCTCATCCAAGTCAAGATCATCTCTTTCTTGTCTTTGACACGAGAATTGATCCCTGTGCTCATCAGTCAGGGCTGTTTTTGAACTACGGTCGGGTCTTTTTCTTGGCTTCTCAGGTTTCTCCCTATCTTGGCGTTTGTGCAATGTTAAATTTTTTTTCACTTTTTACGTCGTTCATTACATGATGATTCATAGCATAGCATGACTCTGCTGGTTCTAACGGCATGTCAAACGCGATTCTGTAACGCTCGGTATCCCCAGTAAGGTAGTTCGACACTGAATCTTGCCTTTCTTCTATGATAGCAAGATAACCGTTGGATTCTTTTCCATAAAAGTGACGTATGAATTCGTCAGAATCTTCTTCGTCTCTTGTCCCTGTAAGTAGCTTTAAGTCAGCTCTGTATCTTTTAATGAGCTCCACAATGTAGTTTTGAAGTTCTCTATGTGTTTCGTACATTGTTAATCCATCACCAGTTGAAGGAAAGTCATCGAATGTGCGCTGTTCAGCAGCATACAAACCGCGTCTTTCTTCCAGTTCTTTTTTAACAATCTCTATTGACTTCTTGCACAGTAGCGTCGCTTGCTCTTCGTAGACCTCAAAACGTTCTTGTCTGAGGTTGAACTTTAGGCATCCTTGGTCAGCTGCCAGTTTAGCATGTTGCAGTCGCTCTAATCGAGAATTGAGCAAAAACGCATGCTCTCGAGATCCCTTATCGTGCTCATCTAATTTTCGCATTTCTGCATTGCATTCTCTCTTTCCGTTTTTTCCCTTGCTAAAGAAGCTTTTACATCCCTGTTGTCCTTTATCAGTACCTCTAATTGAGACCTCAGTGTTTGCGCTTCGTTCTGGAGAGTTTCGGTTTCGATTTGCAATTTCTTGACTGAGACTGCTAAACCCCGCCTTTCCTCTGTAGTCTTCCCTGCAAAAGATTCTTTCAATTGTGGGAGCTTTCTTCTCTGTTTCTTCTGCGCATACTGCGAGGCTTGGACTGAATTGTTGTCTCCACTCGCCTCTTTAGTTCTTTCAAAGTTTTCATTCCCCAGAGATGAGAGTAAACTCCTCAAAGATCTCTTCTCCCTTACATTATTGTTTTTTTCATTCACTTCTTTACCCGTCAACGATTTCGATGCTACCTGCTGGCATCCACATTGTCGAATTTCAATTTCTGCTTTGTTTTCATAGATACCATCACACTTGGCAACAGCATCATTCTTGCAGTTTTCTTCCGTGTCACATTTAGAAACTGTTGTTTTCGTTTTATCTCTTAACAGACCAGCACTCTTAACTCCCCTTCTCCATAACCTTGAGGAAAACGCCTTGAACGGATTGGCGGTATATTCACAATCACCTTCGTCGGTTTTGTCTCTGAAACCATGGCCAGCTAACCGGGCTGGCTCACCTAATATAAACAGTCACTAAGAACGTCCGTCTCCCCCTCCTGTCCTCTCCTATGTCCCCCCATACCCCTCACACCCCACAATTGTGAATGGTTCATGTATGTACATTTGTTTTTGTAGAAATGAAAACAAAATATTAGGCTAATTGCACCACCGTCAGATCATATTAGGAAGCTTAAGCAACGACAACGGCGACGTCAACGACAACGGCAAAAAATCAATGGCTTGATCAGCAAAACAACAACTTTGCAGGTTCATCACGTTTTTTTGTACATTTCTTTACCGTTACTGCACGAGTGTAGGCCGTGAAATTCCTAATTTCACGTTTTATGGAGGACGTAAACACAAGAGAACGACTTTCTCTTTCTTTTCCTGACCTTCGATACACGCAGAGTTTTATAATTAACTTCAAAAATAGCTGCCAACATTTGACGAATTGAACGAAATGGAATAAGGGCGATTAAGTTTAAAGGACCGACTTCGCTTTTTTATCGTGGGAAAAAGGCAATATCTGTGCAATAAATTACGTTATCTTGCCTACAGCCTGCAGGATTCATGATTCAGAGTCAAATACGATCGCGTGACAGACACAAATGTACTTACTCTATATACTAAAAATAAATTTGCTAAATGGAAAAGTTTGTCACATGATTTTTACTTCTTTGAGAAACATGGTAGGAGAGCGAGATTTGGTTCATCTAAACCGTTTGAAATGTTTCAATGATGCTGTCTTTGCCATAGTGGCGACAATCTTGATTCTTCCAATACGGAGACTGTTAGTTACTGCCAATACTGACCTGAAAGCGGAGCTTGAAGATGGATGGATTCGGCTGGTTGTCTACTTCTTCGCGTTTCTTGTCATTTGCGCCGTATGGGAATCGCACGTGCATCGATTCATGATTCTTTCCCGTATCGACGATATTTTGATTTGGTTAAACCTCGCGTCTCTGTTGTTTACTTCGTTTTTGCCCTTCGCTTGCGCCTTGGAGGGTAAATATCCGAATAGATTCTTCCCCATTTTGATGATATGCACCAACATGGCGACCCTAGAAGTTCTGGAGGTGATCATGATCTTGTATTCGTTTCGTCAGGTTCATTTGCTTACCGAGGATCTACAAGAGCTAACCGAAGGACAAATAAAAGAACGAAGAGATTATATGCTAGCGAAAAAAATTCTCAACTCATTGTTGTATGTGCTAGCTGCTTTCATGAGCAACGTTAACGCCACTTCCGCGTGGGTGCTAATTTCCATCGTCATAGTCACGCCATGTATACATCGATTTATTGGCCATATTTTTCGAAAGTGCAAGGCGATCCGCATGCCTGGAGCCGATTTTGATCTTCTGTTTGGCAACTACATTGATACAGAGCGAGTGGAATGTTTCAGCGATGGAGTTTTCTCTATTGTCGCAACCTTGCTTGTGCTTGACATAACTACGGAAAGTTTTCCCAGGGAAGCGGATGTCGAGAAAGATGGGCTCGGTGCAACTGTGAGGGATTTGTGGCCCAGCTTCCTTGCGTACATGGCAACATTCATTGAAATTGCCTTCTTGTGGTTCGTACACCATTCCCTGTTCCATTGCATCAGAAGAATGAATCAAATCATGTTAGTTGCTAACAACATTTCCTTGGCCTTCGTCGGCTACTTTCCCTTCTCTGTGGCCGTTTTTAACAAGTACGTCGACCACCACAAAAATCTCACTTCCGACACGAGGCTGGCAGTGCAGTTTGCTTCAGTGGCCATATTTAGTGCGAGTTTAGCACAAGCAGTTGTATTTATTGTCGCACTGTGGAAAGGATCCTCCCACCTAGAGCCCAGAGCGAACCCATCCATTTCAAGAAGCAGTCACCGCTACCTGGCCCTAAAGCTCACCATAATACCTCTCACCAGCTTATTCATCTACTTCACCACCTTTGCCCGCTTTTTAACAATTTACATTTCTTTTCTCACTGCAGCGTTCATAACACCCTTTTTGTTCCTGGTGTTAAAAATAGTTTTTGGCCGTAGAGAAGTAGGAGAACTTATGAGACATGATTTAGAAATACTGTAGAAGCTTACTATACATTCCCTGACAGGGGTGGCCTCAGATTTCAGAAAAAGGTAGTAGGTTAAACTATACTTGATCTCATTTGAAGGATAAAATATTGAAATTGTGGAGGTAACTTAAAAAACTGAAAATTTAGGTCAATTCTTAAAATTCACAAATGGACGAAAGTGTCTATACACGCTAGAATTATGACAGCACACTTGCTAATGGACAAAATGGCCTTTGAACAATAAGAGAGGCAAATCAGTTCTCCAAAGTCTAAGCAAATCATAATCAATGAATTTAAGTTTTTTCCCACAAATTACATAAACACAGTGTACTGCCCGCAAACTTTTGGCCCGACGTTTTCAAGCTTTACTTGGCTTCTTTCCTACAATTCTGAGCCAAAGCGGAAAATTCCATATTTTGGTATGCCCTGTTTTAGCAAGAGTATGCAAGAAATAGTGATTTTCCGTTCTTTGTATGTTCAAGAAGCGCTATCTGTCATTAAGAATACTACTACCCCTTTCTTTTAATTTAGGTCCGTGCCTCGGATGAAATGCCGTATTGAGTAGTCTGGTTCCTATAGGCGTTCTCGACTCCGGCAAACCTGGACCCTATTGTTGTCCATGGGACCGAGAGTTTCGAGAAAAGGGACCAAAAAATATCCGACAACGGCGACGTCAAGAGAACGTCAAAAAAGCAATAGGTCTCAAATAAGCAAAATGACAATTCTGCACGTCCCTCACTTTTTTTGTACATTTTTTTGCCGTCACTACACGACTACGTGGACTTGAACCCGATTCAACTCCGGGAGAGTTAGCTTACATTTCTAAGTGAGTTTAAACAATCGCAATGAAGACTGAAAAACGCAAATTGATCTTTTAAGCGACGGTTTGGCCGCTGTCCCCGTCCTCGGCTTTGAGGTCCCAAAAGACTCGCAGGGAAAGGCGAAGCGTTGTCCCGTTTATCCTTTAGCAGAATTCGCGTTGAAAACGGAGTAAGAGAAAGGGAACAGAAACTAGGTTGTCGTATTGGCTACAAAAAGTGCATTCCAAGGTTGACTGTCATTTTCCAGCTTTTGCTATAAACACTTCCCCGCTTCATTCAGCGTACAGCACCTTTACAGTGTTTGGAAAGTCAGGTTGATCTTTTTCCCATTCCTAAAAACCAAAGCGATAGAGGACTCCAAAAACTCTCAGGCCCATATCCGATATTCCTGATACCGTGTGCCTCAAAGGTAATCGAGGAATTCTTAATTCGTGATGTCAAGCTAGCATTACTAACAAATCTCCACTCAATCAACTACGGTGCTCTGGTTTTAAGCACAGATCTTTCTCTTTCAGTGCAGTGTGGAACAATCTATCTCCTGATGTTCAGGAGGCTGCAAATCTTACGAGCAGCTTTCAAGCAAGTTACACACACCCGGTCCACAGCTGTATGCGAACAGAGATATCATTCGGGTAGATGGAGGGCATAACAGTTAGACCCCAATACACGCAAAGGCCATTTACAAGAACCATTTTAATACGGTCTGGGGGAGTGCTATAACCCCACACAACACGTGTGAGCTGCTCGCTGGAAACCGCACTGCAGTTCTCCCATGGCATGCGCTGTCTGTAATCTGCTCTTACAAATTCTTAAGACTGATTTCGTCGTTACAAAGCTTAAAAAACTTAAGCTTGTCTACATCAAGTGTCGTTGTAATCTTTACTATAATTAGAGATAGTTTATTCATAAAAATAGTTTTTCATCTTTATCATTTCATCCGGTAAGTATCTCTAGGGGTACTTAGAGCTGGGGAATTCCTGTAAAAACCAAGTGTCCGCACTCTATCCAATCTAAATAAAGTTTGCTCTGTTTTTAGATTTTTTATCTTGTAACCTAGCCCCCTTATTCATTTTCGATTTTTAGTTTTTTGCATGTTGTTAATTAAGAGAATATATATTCTCTAGTGTAAATATTTCATTGTTGCAGATACGTAGTTACGTTATTTTTGTTACCTGCCTTCAGTTTTTGAATTTTTTAAAAAGCTTATCGTCTCGTGTCATAATAAAGTTGATTGACTGATTGATTGTACTGGACATGTTTCATTCTTTCCGTGCAGTCCTACTATCAAAGAAAAGAAACAAAGCTCTTCAATAATATTAGTTTGTACTCGTATGTGTATCCTTGTGTTACTCGTATGATCGATACCGCTTAAAAACACATCTCTGTACTGCAAAAGTTTGATTTCGTGTATATCAGCTACGTCGGTACTAAAACTAGCCTCCCACGCAGGCGTTTTTAGGGGAGCTCGTATTTCTTCCCTCCACGAGCTCCCCTAAAAGCGCCTGCGTTGGAGGCTATACTAAAACGTGTATGCATTCATATCTATGTTACTCTTATGTATTCGTATGTAACTCGTATGTATCAGTATGTTAACCGTATGCATCTGTGTTCCTCGTATGTACCCGTGCTTTTCCTTAGGTTTTAGCTCCCGTTGAATGGGTTGGACGAAAGGTCAGATTAACGTGGGTGGGTGGATCCCGGGGGCGGGGTGTTAAACAGTTTGACATTCAAAACGTAAGGGATATCTAGGATCAACCATAAATTTAACGACAAAAAAAAATAAATAAATAAACAAATCCTCTAGGCCTCGTGATAAAAGTTAAAACATGACACGTTTATGTTTTACTATTTTTGGGCATAGAGGCCCTCAAGAAAAAAAAAAAAGATGAAGTCGAAAATGATACAATTAAGCCTTGATTTACTTCGCAGAGGGCACTGCAGAGCGTGGAACTGAAAAAACCTCTGAAACTTTCCTTTCTTGCATCAAACGTTTAGTCGAAGTCACATGGAAGTCAGATGTGATTGGTTGTTTACGTATACGACTGAGTTAGAACAAAGAACCCTTGCAATGCTCCCGCCAGTCCTTTAGTCCGAAAATCTACAATTTACACCCCTAAGCGAGACGACGAGCATCCCTGTCACTTTTAGTCACTTTTATATGGGAGTCCCCGCCCCCCCCCACCCCGGGGCTCGTATACGGTCACGCGACAATCATAAAGGAGCTCATCCGCTCCAGGCATAAATAATTAGAATGTGTGATAGCAAAAAAATTATTAACTCTCTCCTTCTTGTCAAATGATTTTTAATTTTTTTGACAAGCATGGTGGAAGACCGAGATTTGGTTCATCTAAACCGTTTAAAATTTTTCAACGATGCTGTCTTTGCTATAGTGTCGACAATTCTGATTCTTCCAATACGGAAACTGATAGTTGCTTCAGATATTGATCTGAAAGCGGAGCTTGAAGGTGGATGGATTCGGCTAGTTGCCTACTTCTTCGCGTTTCTTGTCATTTGCGCCGTATGGGAATCGCACGTACATCGATTTATGATTCTTTCCCATATCGACGATGTCTTGATTTGGTTAAATCTTGCGTCTCTGATGTTCACATCGTTTTTGCCCTTCGCTTGCGCATTGGAGGGAAAATACCCGGAGAAATTCTTCCCAGTTTTGTTGATATGTAGCGACATGGCGATCATAGAAGTTCTTGAAGTTTTCATGATCTTGTATTCTTTTCGCCACGTTGATTTGCTCACCGATGAGTTCCAAGAGCTACCGGAGAGAAAAATGAAGGAACGTAGAGACTACATGCTAGCGAAGAAAATTCTCAACACACTGTTGTACGTGATAGCAGCTTTCGTGAGCAACGTTAACGCCATTTCCGCTTGGGTGTTAATTTCCGTAGTCATTGTCACGCCATGCATACATCGATTTATTGGAATCATTCTTCGAAAGTGTAACGCAATCCGCATGCCTGGACCTGAATTTGACCTTATGTTTGGTAACTACATTGACACGGAGCGAGTAGAATGTTTCAGCGATGGAGTATTCTCCATTGTTGCCACCCTCTTAGTGCTTGACATAACTACGGAAAAGATGGACTTGGTACAACTGTGAGGAATTTATGGCCGAGTTTCCTTGTGTACATAACGACATTCATCGTAATTGCATTCTTGTTTTTTGTTCACCATTCTCTGTTCCACTGCATCAAAAAAATGAATCAAGTCATGTTGGTTGCCAACAATATTTCCTTGGCCTTCATTGGCTACCTCCCCTTCTTTGTTGCCGTATTCAACAAGTATGTTGAACGCCCCAAAAAGCTCAACGCCGATGCAAAGCTGGCTGTGCAGATTGGTTCAGTGGCCATATTTGCTGCGAGTTTAGCACAAGGAGTTGTATTTATTGTTGCACTGTGGAAAGGATCCTCCCACCTGGAATACAGAGCAAACCCATCCATTTCAAGAGGCAGTCATTGCTATCTGGTACTCAAGCTAACCATTATACCAATCGTCAGCCTCTTCATCTAATTCACCACCTTTGCCCACTATACAGTAATATATATTGCTTTCCACACTGCGGTATTCATAACACCTCTTTTGTTTCTGGTGCTCAAATTAATTTTTGGCCGTAGGGAGACAGGTGTAACCATCGCATGGACCTATCCATCTCACAGGAGAAAGCTGAGAGATCAGAAGAAAGGTGCCAGCGAAACTGTTCCTTTGTTGACAGCTTAAAGGGGTTGTGTCACGGCTGTCGTGTTTATTTTGTTAAAATCACCAGTACCGTGCTTTAATTCGCAGTGAACCTTAACTTAAGCGGATAAATTGCTTGCAAATGGGTGTCAGTAAAACGCGGGATCGGGGTCTATCTTTTTTTTAAGAAGTGTTAGTGTTAGGGTTAGGTTGACACTAACCCTAACCCTTGACCCTATCCCTAGACCCCCATCCCGGCCCCGACCCCGACCCCGCCCCTACCCCGACCCCGCTGTTTACTGACACCCCTAAAATTTGGTGCCGGGAGCAGTTCTCACTGTTTGACACTGTTTCACAAACGAAAGGAGTAAAAATTTCAGTGTGAGATTTTATTACAGTTTGCAAAAAAGGAAAGCCGACCTGAAAGAGGTAGATTTTTTTATATACGCGAGCCTTTTATTGCAAATTTATTGCGCATGTTTCACATCCCTGTTAATCATTATTCCCAAAGTAAAGATGGGGTACTACTATAGGCTGTGATGGAAGAGACTTGTTCAGCATTTGTGAGCATCGAAACTTCTCAAAACTGCAATTGCCGAGAGAAGATGGAGAACTGTTTTACTGCAAGCATTAGAACTTCATATTAAGTGACTAAATTGAGTGAAATACATTGCTTCTTTTTTATGAAGATATTTCATGGAAATATGTAGTAAGCAAATTCACTGATTACTTCAAGCTTGGAAGTATTTTTTGCAAGCATTAAAATTTTATGAAATTCCAAGAGAGTAATATTATTTTGGAAATATGTAGTATATATGGTAAACCTTAAGGGATTTAATTAGCCGTTAGATTAATTCTAGGCAGTGTTGAATTTTTTATAAGATTACCTGACATGTTTTTTTTGAAATCCATGCATGAAGTTGTGCAAGATGTACAACAGCTGTAAGAACGACCAGAAGTTTATTTGTACATAATAAAAAAAATTAAATGTCAGAAAACTAACTGCCTTAAAAAGTAATATAACATGCAAACTAAAATGGCTTTGACTGGTCGGTGCTGGCCTAATTTTATAATTTTTGCTCGCAGAAGAAGGCGAAACTCAGTTGACTTTAAGGACTTTAAGGCCTATACCCCTCATAAAAAAGTTAATAAGCAAACGCTCCTTTTTTCAAGGCGCACGGAAATTGCAAGCCTTGCAATTTTGATCGACATATAATTTCAGAACAGGCCTGTTTTTTATTATTGATTTACTATTATTATTGTTACCGACAAAATTGTAAGAATGTAATGCACTTTTGTATTTTGCTACCTGAACGTGAAAATTTGGAAATTGAAAGGTTTAACATTTCGGTTTCGCGGAGGGTATTTGGTAAAATTACAGATAGCTCCTCTATTTAGGCCGAAGTGTGAATTTTACAGGAGACATCGGTCGCGTGACAATTTCCACGTCATATCAATGGGCCATGGGTCACGCGATCTAGTTTCTGAAAGAGCATAAAAAGAAACGGCCCATTTTCACTGAAAACTGCCAAAGCTACAGCAAAGAAAACTTCGGTCCCTCTATCTATGTAAAAGATATGACTGTTCAGAACACGGTGCGACGTTTTCAGGTTTGATAGAGACATAAATAGCGTGATTTGCGATCGGCTTACTAACCGGATTTCGTGATCAAGGATTATTGAAGTTTGTAGGCTGATACTTCACTAGAGATTTCCGAGAAAAGCGGAACTTCCAAGCTTTTGACTAAGCCTTCTTTTACGTAAAGCCGTTCAGAGAACACAACGAGCAACATGTCCACAACGGATAACATAGATCTTTCTGAACTGAAACGTCTTCAATGCTTTAACGACGCTGTATTCGCTATTGTCGCGACCATCCTAGTTTTACCGATAAGAAAGCTCGAGGAGAACGCAAAGGAAAACGTTAGTCTTGCGGATCAGCTCGGTGATCGATGGCCCCAGCTTGTGATATATTTGGTTGGATTTCTCGTGATTTGTGCTGTGTGGGAATCGCATGTCCTTCGCTTTCGAATCTTGTCCCGAGTCGATGACGTTCTCGTCTGGTTCAACCTCGCATCGCTGCTGTTTACCTCATTTCTACCGTTCACATGCGCTCTGGAGGGTATGTTCACCAACAAGTACCTTCCGATGATGCTTATCTGCGGGAACTTGCTCACCCTTGAGATTCTAGAAGTCGTTATGATCGTATATGCTTTTCACCATCCGCAACTCTTGGACGAAGAATTTGAGGAGCTCACGCAACCCGAAATCAGACAAAGAATGAAACTAATGCTGGTGAAGAAAGCTGTAAATCCCGTTTTGTATGTTTTAGCCGGAGTGATCAGCATTGCCCAGATACAACTTGCTTTAGTCGTGGTGGCAATAGTCATATTCTCGCCTTGCATTAACCGCTTCGTGGGTGTTGTTTATCGGAGGGTTTCGCGCATCCCCCTGACCGGATCCGAGTTCGACCGAATGTTCGGAAACTTCGTAGATAAAGAGAGAGTGGAATTTTTCAGCGATGGTCTGTTCGCGATCGTATCTACGCTGCTCATACTGGATATCACAGCGGAAGATTTTCCGAAGAAAGGAGACGTCGAAAGCGTTGGTATCCAGAAAACATTGTTGCACATGAAGTCGGAGATCTTCACTTATGGGGCTACCTTCGTGGTTGTCGCGCTTTTGTGGTTCACGCACCACTCGCTCTTCCACCGCATCGAGAGGCTGAACCAAGTGATGCTGGTCTGCAATAACATCTCATTGGCATTCGTGGGTTTGTCGCCATTAATTAACGTGACACTGAATCGTTATGCAGGGCACGGCAAGACTGACAGCCGACTTGCTGTCCAATCGGGAGCGATTATCGTTTTTGGTGCCAGTATTTTTCAAGCAATTCTTTTTATTATCGCTTTACTGAAAGGTCCTAACTTTCTCCAGTCCCGCGCGGATCCTCACGTGTCGTCTCGCGCACACACGTACCTCGCACTGAAGCTCAGTGTCATTCCACTCATGACCTTCCTCGTATACATATCAGCCACGGTGTGTCCAAGCGCCTCGTTATCAGATGACGTGTATCACATTGTCGCTGGACTCACTCCTGTTATATTCATCGTGCTGAAGATCGTCTTCTCATGTTGCCGGCGCTGTTGTCGGCTGTCGCTTTGCGATGTGCAGCAAGAACCTAGCCATTATTCATCAGAATTTTACGACATCATCGAAGTTGATTAAGAGGAGTGCGTAAGTTTATCGCTTAACTGTTTAAAAGTTATACCGTACATGGGGAAAAAGCAGCGAAATATTGATGTCTGTAAAAAACTGAGTAGCTCGTGTTGTTATTTTCCTGGAATCAAATAAGCCAAAATTAGATTCAAATTCGTGTACAACAGATGTTTAAGATGGATTTTTTTCAGCCAGTTGAAAGGAATAGGAAAGAGATGTCCCAGGTTCTCTCTTTGTTTTGTCTGCCTCGAGCGAGGTAAAGGAGAGTCCCTGGAAATGAGTTTCATAATAGTAGAGGAACTCTAACAACAATAGGAGTCAAGAAAAGGTGCAGGCCAACTCTAATTTAGGGCCTGTTTACATGGAGGTGGGGAACCCCAGGTAGGTGAGGTAACCCGCCTGTCCACACCTGCCTGGGGTCCCCCACCTTCATGTAAACAGGCCATTAGTTGGTGGATACATGTGCATTATTTTTCGCGATATCGCTACTAAAGAAAATAACAAGTAGATTAGCAGGTTAATATAGCCAACTGTCAGGACAAAAACTACGGCGCACACACATCTAAAACCCGAATTGACCAATGGCAGAGCAGCAAAATGAGCACCGTCCTCACTTGACGTCGCTTTAACTATGCTATAAAATCTGCCTGGAGTAGTTACTGATAAGGAAACGCAGCGAAGTCAGTTTCAAAATGAACAAGTTTTGATCACGACGAAAGGAATCGTTTTTAAAAATATTCCTTTGTTTCTAGAATTACTAGAATTGTCTCTCAAACATTGGAGGAGCAAATGACGCGTAATTTCACGAAGTGCTTTATCCGCTATCAACCTCTTCAACTGAGAATTGCGTGAGGAGGAGAAACCACGCGAGTAGTGTGTGAAGCTCGCGAGGAGGCAGAGGGCCTTCCGTAAGCAGTGATCCCCAATTTCTCGCGCTATTTCCAAAAGGAGATAAGAGGGTTACCACGCGACGCGACATTTGACAATTTTTATAATCAAAAGACATTAAATAACGCACCTCCTCAATTATCACAGCAAGTTAGTTTTAACCTTCAAACATTTGTTTATTGATGCCTTTCATTTTTATAATATGATCTTGAATAAAATCTTACTTTGTAACACGTCTAGAATTTTGATTGAACGTACAGATTTACATCACTCTGTGAAAACTCGATAGCATAAATATCGAATTTATTTGAAGGTCCTTTCAGCGGGGAAAGGAGCTAAATATTAGACTTTGAAAATAATTCGTTAAAAACCTTTATAGCTACTCTTCCTTTAACTATAAATATTGAAAAATACGTTTAAAGTATTCAGTGGAAAACTTTGCTGTACAATTATTGCACAGTATCTACACGAGGGCTAGTTTTTTTCTTTACACTTTACATAAGTTTATTCTATCCTTTCACTTTAACGAATGTTAAGACGCCTTATCGGGACAACCCTGTTGAAACATTGGATTTGAAAGTTTTCGAAGTTATGTACAATAATTTTTGACAACGCTGGAGGAAGTTAGGTAAGCAGCTAACCTATGCTTACGAGAAAAAAAAACAATCTGGCCCCAGTTGTTCAAAAGACAGATAGCGGTATCCACTGGAGAAATCTCTGTCCAATGTGATTTATCCAGCGGATAGCCGCGCTTTAGAAAACCTTGGCCCGGAAGCAACCGTTAAAGAGTTTCTTGTGCAAAATCTTCATCGGCCTCCCCTGCAGGAAAACTGTTAATGATGATCGTTTTGTAAATTCTCATGATTCGAAAAATTGAAAACACTTGATGTTACTAAGAAAGATTTGATGCTTATCACTTACTACCAGGACGTTTCAAAGCTTTTTTGTTGAAAGGGGTGTTTGTGGCAGAACATTTTGCATCCATGAATTGTATGTAGGCCTTATTCCATAAAAAGGGGCACTTGAAGCGAATCAAAAAGGATCTTTTCAAGCAAAAAATACTTTTAAACTATACGTCAATAATATACAGGTACGAAAAAACAAACAAACAAACAAAGAAACAAGCTACCGATAAAAAAAGAACAAACTAACAACCGCAAAAAAGAAAGACATAACTCAGTTTCTTGGTACTCATGTCAGCTCAAATCTTCGACGATCAACGTTCTTTACTATGAAAACACGAAACCCGATGGTTCCATGACTGTCTCTATCTGGCAAAGTGTTTAAGAGTTTCGCAGATGGTTTAGTTAGTTGTAATCATATTTTGTATCTACTTTGCTGTGTCAACCATGACGTAACATAGGTAAAGAAACGCCGTGAAATACTGGCACCCGTTGGTTCTTGTGCCAGTCGCCCCGCCCCGGCACAGCTGTCTTTTTAAAAACCACCATTAGCCAAATTAGTTTCCGAACTTTGCTTGTTTGTTTATCTTTTTTATTGGCTCGTATATACCACTCGGTAAACAGTGAGCCTCCGCGCACGAGCTTTTAGATTGTCGAGAAGACCGTGACACGAAAGGGATTCGTTGCGTATCAGGTAAAGTTTCTGGGCAACTGACCCCTCCCCTAAGTCACAATTTTGTCTTAAGTGAGAAGGAAGCGTTAATGTTGACTTAGGGGAGGGGTAGGTGGTCAGATACCCAGAAAACTCAATTGAACCGATTCTCTCTTTCTGTTCGCAGGGAATAGTAGAAGCTTTTGCGGTCTTGATAACAGTAGGGCGGTTTAAGGATCACGTTTACAGCAAACGGCAAACGAGAGATTCAAGTTGACAAAGTCTCAATTTAGGAAATGAGCAGATAAAAACTTTCCAGACAATTCCTCTCGATAAAACTGACCCGAAACAAGTAACTTTTATGTAGGTATTATGAAAAGAAAACGACAACTGAAGTAAAGGGTAAACTTAATCACGTGGTACAAAATCGACGTTTGCCGTAAACGTAATACTAAGCCTGTCAAATATTTATAT